GAAAACAAAACAAAACAAAAACAAAAACTCATTTGGTGATCTTGGTAGTTCAATAGTAGTAATAAAAGTGATGGGTTTACATTAGTTTAACGCTTTAGGTACCTTTTAGCACTAAAATTTCATGGGTCCATGAAATCAGGCTCAGAGATGTTACTAGCAATTCATCCAAACTTCAGTTATAAAACACCTACTTGGAGCCAGAAGCTGTTTTAGATGCTAGTATTTTATTTAATATTATAAACTTAATATGAAGAAGTTGTTAAAAAAAATTCTTCAGTAAAGAAATTAACGGTAAAGCTATTTTAAAAAATCCCTTTGACAAATAAAATTTAATAGAGAAACTGAAAACACTGAATTCAATTTTAATTTACATGATGTGTGTTTGATTACTTAACCTAGCAATTAAAGAGATGAACAATAGTTTTGTATACTCATTGCTGAATATGCAAGGTACTTTCATGTCTTTTTGTCAATTATAGGAAAAATTTCTCCGTGAGCAAAAAATACACAGAAATAAAAAGGTAAAAACCTTATCCACAGGCAACTTCAAGATAGAAAAATTAGTTTGATTAATGTTTTGATGTGCTGAGCAAACATATAAAAACTCTAACTTTAGAAGAAATTTCAGAAAATTCCAGCTCAACTTTGGAAATCAAGAAACACGGGTCATAGCAGACTACGACTTGACTGGATTCGAGAGCAGCACACTCCGATAGTTAGCCCAGCTTACCGAAAAAAAAAAAAAACCAACCATGTTATATTCCAACAATCACTGGATCACGAGTTGCTTCAGCTCAGTGGAAACCCCCTGAAAAAAAGGCACGCAAGAGCAGGTTCTATAGTTAAGGTAGAGAGTTGCAAAGCGATCTTTTTTCTGTCCAGTAATTTACAAATCCACCACAGAATTAAGACTGCAGATATTGAGACCTAAACAAAGGCTGACTGAAAGAATCCGAGTTCAACTTTCACAAGGAATGAAACATAAACCTAAGAAAGCTCTTGGCCTCACTAATGTGTGGCTGTACCCAAGGAACATAAGCAGTCCCAGATGAGGAACCTATTATCAAACTTTAAATCACGAAACTGAAGGGAGCATTTTAAGAAACTGTGGCCCCAGGAGACTAAATGAAGGGATGGAATATAAGCAGTATAGACTTCGTGGAGAGCTGTGCTTTACAATCAGGATACATTATAATACAGTTAGAATAACTAGAAGCGCCGGGCATTTCAGTCTTAACTCATCCTTGCCACCCTAACCACTAAAATTATCCTTATTAGCAATTAAAAACAAACAAACAAACAAAAAAAGCAAGGGTTATTTCAAGCGCCATGGGTCTGACTCTCCTTTGAGGATGTGAAGGGGTCAAGCATCTGGCAGATCCACATGGCCGGCCTCCAGACTGGGCAGGACAAGGGTGACCAGACAGGATGGAGACGGGGGTACTCGGTCCCGCCGACCTCTGACCAGCGTTTTCTCTCTTCCGAGCTGGGGACGCACCGGCTGCTCTCGCCGAGGCCCCTGACCAAAGAGGGGCGGCCCCAGCGCTCAGGGATGCCCGGCCCCGGCCCCTGCCACGCAGCCTGGCCGCCCGAGGAAGCTCCTTCCCCGGGGCCCTGCTGTCTTGCTGTCCCGCTGCCCAGCCGCCCATCCCAGCCCGCCCGGGGCCGCGTAGGACCCGCCTCCAGCCGCAAGGAACCACCTACCGCGCGCCGGCTCCTCGGCGAAGGGCTCCCTGACTAGCGGCTGGGGAACCGCGCCACCACCGAGAGGAGAGGAAAGAGCGGCTCCTTCCGGCTTCCGGAGGAAGCGGAAACAGTATCGGAAGTCGCGGGGCGGAGCGAAAGAGGTGCGGCTGCCCAAGCTCATGGCGGTGCTGTTGGTACGGTCTGGCCGGATGATGCGGCCACCGGTTGGGTCACTTTGGCGTCTCTTGCCTCGCGGACTCTGGCTTTGGGGCCCGGCGGAGGGGACCGCAGGAGTTTTTCTGAGGCAGTTCTGCGCGCGGCCGATGGACGTGCGGCGGGCTTCGGGGCTCGCTGGCAACTGCCTGGGATGCCGACTCCTTAGCACAGCGATGCCGCCACCCCCGGCGTCGTCAGGGCCCGAGCCGAAGAGAAGCAGAGACCCCACGCGCACCTCGAAGCCCGGGGTGAGTGCATGCCTGGAGCCCTTCCCGTGCTCGTCGCGGCTGTCAGCCACACCGGTGGCCTACCCATCCCACTCGGGCATAACCTCAGAGACCGCTCAGCCTGGCCTGAAATTGTCCCCAACATGGCGGGCTAAGCTGCGTCATGAAATTTCACCCGAATTCTCCCCTGGCTTGCCGGTAGTGCCAACCCTCGAGAGAACCTGAGAACCTAACTCCCCACACGGTTAGACTCGGGCTTGGATTTCCCCCTCCCCCCCCAAAAGATGACCGGTAAGGGGACCTTAACCCTTGACTTGGTGTTGTCAGCACCACGCTCTCCCAAGTGAGCCATGAGCCGTCCCCTATCGGGCTTGGATTTTTAAGTTGGCTTTTGCACCAAAAAAGAAAAAAAGAAAAAAAAAGTTTCAGACTTTCTTAAGGGTCTCAACTTTGCTTACCACTGTTGAGTCAGAGCAGTTTTATGATTTCTGTCACTTACATTCCCCTTCATCAGAGTTTCCGTGTATACGTTGAGATTGAAACAAAAAGTGCATCTTAGTTGCGTATGGGTTAGCACTTTTTCTTGGTTTTCTCTCAGGTTCTAGTTCTGACCGGAAAAGAACTTAAGAGCCTTTACCCTCTAGTAATAGCTAAGAAAAATGGATTTTCGGAGCTGGGGGAGGGTTAATGAGTTAAAGCTAGGCCAGCGTCTTATTTGGGGACTTGAAAAGAGTACAGAGAAATAACTCGATCCAAGAAGCCCCACTTGTAAACAGCTTTTCTACTTTGGCTTTGGTACTTCTGGAAGCCGGTTAGGTTAACCTCACGTATTTTGTTTGGTTTATTTATATTCTCAATATCAGCACAAGCCGATTTTAATTTTTTTTTAGATTTTTTAGATTTTTTTAAAATCAGCGATTGGAGCCAGAGTTACACATAATGACAGTCATGGTCCTTTAGCTTCACTGGGTCGTTTTTCACCTGAGCAGAAACTGACTTAGCAAGCTTTCCTATGGGAATCAGTGCCTTAGTAATTGTTCTTGGAGCCCAGACATAACTGCATCCGCAGAAATTTTCAGCCTCTTCTCATTCCATAGTAACCTGAAATATTCTGCATGTTTAACAAGATATTGGCTTCTGTGTATGCGTATTAAAAACTAGTATAATAAATCTGGTATGTTTAAATGTTTGCATCATACTAGAATTTTTATTTTTGTAATCTCTGCCCCAATAGCCTGTTTCCTGGAAGTCTTTAGCAATCACGTTTGCTATTGGAGGAGCTTTATTGGCTGGAATGAAGTACTTCAAGAAAGAAAAGGCAGAGAGTAAGTAGATGTCATCTGGTCAGCTCTGAATAAAATCTTTCCTGGCTAGGTACTAGCATCTTTTCTGTTGTGGGTTTTAAACTTTCTATTTTGAAATAATTTTAGATTTTCAGAAGGGCTGGAAAGATGATATAAAGAATTCCCATATACCTTTCACCATAGAGAGTTTCCACATACATTTTACCCAACTTTCCCTGATATTAACATCTTACATAACCATGGCACATTTATCAAAACTAAGAAATTAAAATAGGTACAAAACAATTAACTATAGAGATTATTTGGATTTCACCAGTTTTTCTATTAGTGTCTTTTATCTCTTCCAGGATCCAATCCAGGAAGTTACTATCTAACAATATTAAAAGATTTACACTGTGGACAGATTTGCAGGTGGGCAGTGTGAAGTCCAGAGGGGACAGTGCTGGCTAAGATGCAGTCCAGCCCTTGAGGTGCACATGACAGAAAAACAGACACAGAAGTAAAGGATTTCACTAGATAAGGTTCTGCCAGACCAGACGGAAGGTCGGGGTGCTGTGAGGGTGCTTGGGATTTGAGATGGCTTCCTGGAAGTCCGGCATAGGGAAACAGTGTGAACAGATACTGCAAACCAGTGGGTATCAGAAGAGGGGAAGGACAGAGGCTGACCATGGTTTATGGAGAGCCTCACTGGGGAATGCCAGGCTCTGCCTGAATTAGCATCTCGAAGTGTTTAGAAATTGTTTACATTAACTTTGTTTTTTTTGGGGGGGGGGTGGCAGCTGGCCAATACGGGGATCCGAACTCTTCACCTTGGTATTATAACACTGCACTCTAACCAACTGAGCTAACTGGCCAGCCCTATGTGAACGTTACATTTTAGTGAATATTTCAATACTTTTAAGATTTAGTTTAAAAGTTTCAGGTAAATCTTTAAAATATTACTTAAATCTGATTTGATTTTCAACCTTGGAGTCTCTTTTGATGCTGTTATACAAAGAGTAATGTTTAAAGCTGAGAGTGAGAATTCATAGGCTTTAGAATGTTAGCAATATAAGTTTTGTACTGATATATATATCAGTACTTTTTGCATAACAAGCAATAATTTTATTGGTAATATTTTCCTATCTCGATTAGCAGTGAGTTCCTTTAGTTTCACAAAGAAACAAACTGAAAAGCTAGGAAAGTAGTGGCAGAGACAGTTCTAGAATATGCAAGTTTCTTTTGACTTTAGTTTGAAATATGATTTACGATAATATTTGTTTTACTTTAAAAATATACTATGAAGTAATCTTAAAAGCATTTCTATATTTGAGAATATTTGCTAATATAATACTTTATCATCTCCAAATACTTCATTGTGTATTTCCTACAAACAGGGACATTCTGTAACACGATCACAATACAACCATCAAAATCAGAAAATTAATTAATCTTTAGGACAGTCTGTTTTATTTATTTATTTATTTTCCTTTTTGAGACCAGCCGCACCGCGCTCAGCCAGTGAGCGCTGTGAGCGCACCGGTCATCCCTATATAGGATCCGAACCCACGGCGGGAGCGCCGCCGCACTCTCAGCGCTTCACTCTCCCGAGTGCGCCACGGGCTCAGCCCAGGACAGTCTGTTTTGAGTACGATTCAATCTTCAAGTTTTGCTATTTGATGTTTCTTATAGCAAAGGGATCCAGTTCAGAACCACATCTTGTACCTACTTCTCTCTTTAGTCTCCTTCAGTTTGTAACAATTTCTCAGTCTTTACCTGACTTTCATTACTTAGATGGCTTTAAAGATTACAGGCCAATTATTTTGTAGACTGTCCCTTGGTTTGGGTTTGTCTGATGTTTCCTTGTGATTAGATTCAGATCATATTGGTGGGAATATCACAAAAGTGACTCTGTGTTCTCATCGCATCTAGTCAAGTGCCTCTGATAATGTTCAGTTTGATCATTTGATTAAGGTGTTCAGGCTTCTCCACTGAAAACTTTACTCTGTTGTGTCAAGATGTGTTTTGTGATGTGTGTTTACATATGTGTATTTTACATATGCTGTTCCCCATCAAACTCACCATTTATTCTTTATGTCGGTGTAGCCTCAAGGTTTCCTACATATTCAGTGAGTTGTGATCTACTATTCTCTTTATTTTGATGCTCAAGTTGTTCCAAATTAGCCAATGGGAACCCGTTCAAGTAGGCTTTTCTGTGCTTTCGACATGTCTCCAATATTCTTTAGGTTCTTCCTTATTTTTACCACAAGAAATTCCAGGCTCATCTTGCGTTTTCTTTGCCTCTGCCCTGCTATCAGCCGTTTCTTCAGAAATCCCTTCCTTTAGTTGGAGAATGATACTTAGAAGTCAATCAGGGCTTATGGCTATTAGGGTATGTCTGTCCCCAGGTCCTCTCAGTGGGCAGAGCTAGTAAATAGATGTATGTATTTACATCTATATTTCTGTATCTGTATATATTGAAACCATAAGTTGACACCAGTACCTTTGATTCCTTTCCAGTACTTTCCATAGTTCTAACTCCCTTTCCATTTGTGACTATCTTATAATATATTTTATCATTTGATCAATCCCCTGTAAAGTCCCATCACTCTGCCCCCTCCTTATGCAGCTGCACACTCAAGCTCAGACTTCCTATGCCAGGCCCCCACCTCATCCCACTTGGGCTTAAACATTCTGCTCTGAGCCTTTGTGACCCTTCCCCCACGTCCAGGATGGCTTAGGACTGAATTATTTCAGAAAGGGAAGAAATATTTTTGCTACTTTGTTTTCTTATAGTCCTTACTACATACCATAGCATTTAATTTGATTTTGTTTAATGTTTTATGCTTATTTTTCTTAAAAGATTTTTTTAGCTTCTTGAAAACCGAAACAATTTCTTCCACTTTTTGTGCACCCATAGTCATTAGTAGAGTACTGACCATATATCAGCCGTTTGAGTACCTGTGGTAATGCTTTTTTTTTTTTTTGGTATGTATGTTTTTGTCTCTTTCAGAGCTAGAGAAGGAACGGCATCGAAGCCTTGGAAAGCCTTTACTTGGGGGTCCATTTTCTCTCACGACTCATACTGGGGAGCCCAAAACTGACAAGGACTACCAGGGTCAGTGGGTATTGATTTATTTTGGTTTCACTCATTGCCCTGATATCTGTCCAGAAGAACTGGAAAAGATGATTCAAGTCGTGGATGAAATAGGTAAGAAAGCCATCATTAACTGTACAAATTAACTGTACAAATGTTTACTTAATGTTCTTAATGTTACTATGTATTTAACATTTTTTATATTAATTACTGGTAGGTGGGTCATTGTAAT